CTGGAGAAATCTTATCAATGAGACTAAAAGTTCTAGGAGGGGAGAAACTGTCTTGTTTTTCTTTGTAGTGCTTCTAATACCTTCCTTATACCGTGCCTTGAATAAACTATGCATTCAAATGTGGGAAGGCAAGGGAAGGGAGAAAAGGGGAAGGGAGGGTGGGGGAGGGAACAGAGTGAATGGTAAGGGAAGGGAAAAGGGGGATGAGAAAGAAAGAAAGGGAGGGAACAGGAGGAAGTTAATGGAAAGGGGCAGGGAAAGTGAGGGAGAGGGAGTGAAGAAAGGGAGGGAAAGGGAAAGGAAGCGGGGAGAAAGGGAAGTGAATGGGGAGTGAAGGGAAGAAAGAGAAGGGGTGAGATAGGGAGAGAGGGGAGCAAAGAGTAGGGTTAGAAAAAAAAATCAACACATGGGCGATGACAAAAGGTCTAAAAATATCCAAAGACAGGACTGAAGAAAGAGAAGAGCAAACAAAAACCAAGAACTTGCTAGACAGTGTAAATGCCGCCAGAGCACCTGCTCCTGTTGCTGCCTGACTGATAGGAGCAGTCTATGGATTTCGCCGTCCCTTTCGTCTCGAGTCATAATCTCCACACCAAAGAGCTCTGCCTGTCTCGCCTCCTGCCTCTCTCATAGTCACACTTAGTAACAAACCCAAGAGCACAGACCAAGAGAGGTAGTGGATGAGAGTGAATCAGTGTGGGCTCTGAAAAAGCTAGAGGGTAGGAACTTTATAGTCACGGTGACTGCATTGACTCCTCTTAACCAAGCTGATGACACAAAAATTTGTCCAGCGTAACTAAGTAATTTTTATTTTTACTTTAATGGAAGTCCAATTGACAACTCCCAAGAAAATATTTAGGATGGTAATTGATTAGGCAAAGCTGCAAATAAATCCTTTTTTCTAATTTATAAGTGGGATTTTTTTTTGGTCAAATTACCTGACTCTTTTAAAGCAAACCACAAAATTTTAAAAAAGGGCATTTGCAGTGAGCTAATTTGATCAAGGCAAACAGGAAACCAAGTTCTCTTGCATTTGGTAATGATGAATCCTATGATTACTTAGGAACTTCTGACTTAGGTACACAATCCTGACACTGCAGGAAGAACCTAGCTGTGCCCTATACACCAATAATAAAGTCAGTTACTTTGTAACGCAAATGGCACCCAAATTAGCCCTAGCTTTGCAGTGAGCCTCTAAAAGAAGTCAATTGTATAAACCAGGAAGAAAAGCTAAATTACCCCAATTAGAACAAAATGAGCAGTTAGAGATGAGGAGCAGAGCACGCAGCTGCTACTCCCTTGACACTGCACCCCTTACATCTAACAAGTTGCCACCGGCTAATTGATGCGGCAAAACCATTATCTGCTTTTTGTTTTTCAAAGGGAAGTTGGAAGGAGAGAAGGCGGCCTGGGTCTCCCATCTTTTTTTTTTTTTTTGATGAACCTACCATCCAACTTACACTTTCAAAGATGAGCAGGGGTCCAATGAAGGGAACTGACAGACAAACGGGGGGGGGCAGTGATTTTAGACCCCCGTGCCACTTTCATTTTCCCTTAATTATAGCCAAATAACTCTGAAAAGGAAGTTAAGCAACAGGGTTCTCACGCCTACAGCTGCTCAAGAAAGAAGCCTAGCATCTCCCTGGGACAGGCCACATAGGCCAGACATTATGAAAATTTGGGCAAACCCCCTAATTTTTCTGCCCTGCATTACCCTAGACTTGCCTTCCTTTCTTCCACCCTTCTTCTCTTCATTTTTTGGGGGTGGGGTCTACATTTATGATTCATCTGAAACAGAGATTTCCTGGTATGGAGACTCCTCGGGCATCTATGTGGCACAGTGGATACAGCTCTGGCCTTGGAGTCAGGAGGACCTGAGTTCAAATCTTATGTCAGACACATGAACTTACTAGCTGTGGGACTCTGGGCAAGTCACTTAACCCTGACTGCCTCACCAAAAAACAAACCAACCAACCAAAAAAAAAAAGACTCCTTCTACTGACAGAGAGGCAACTCATCTTTAACTTTATAGTCTTACGGGGTTGCCTGGGGCATGGAGACCTCATGTCATTTGCCCATGGTCATACGGCTAGTACACGCCAGAGTCAAGATTTGAACTCTGGTCTTCCTTCCTCCAAGGCTGGCCCTTTATCTACTATATCACATGGACTCCTACTTAAAAACAGCTTGCAGCCTCCCTGAAGCTGTCACGGTCTGTTTATTTAATTATGGCAGTTAAAAAAAAAACCAAACCTAGGGAGAAGAACCTTTTTAAAGGAACACATAAAGATTCATTTTGTAGCAAAAAAGGAGAGTCAGGAAGGATCCCTTGCTAGACAGAGCCAATGACTTATGCTGCCTGTCATGTGTGATCTTCCAGCCATAAAAATACTTTGAACTTTGCTGGACTGGTGATTTAGAAGGAGGGTAATGTGGGGGAGGTAATCCCCTCACACTTTCTTATTCTGTGTGATTCATAAAAATAAGGGGCAGTCATGGACAAGTGGAGAGGTGGACTCACAGGAGAAAATTCTTCAACATGACTATGAATCTTTGAGGACAAGAGCTGCTATTATAAATATTCTAAATAACCGACTGGCTTTACCTCCCATTTGGAAAGAAAAAAATTCAGGAGATAAATCACAAAAAAATAGCAAAACTCAAAGCTTACGGTTTAATTTAATGCAGTAAAATTTAATTATTTAATGATACTTCTCAAGGATGTGGTTCCTTTATCAAGCAACCAAAAAGCCAGAACTTATTAAGTGGATACTCTGTGCCAGGCTAGAGATACAAATCTAAAAAAAAAAATCAATCAATAAACATTCATTACAGGCCAGGCGCTATGCTGGGGATAGAAACATAAATTTGACAATAGTGCCTGACCTCAGGGAGGATATAGTCAATCTGGAGACAGCCAGGCCTGGAGTTAAGAAGACATGATTTCAAATGCAGCCTCAGTCACTTGTTAGCTGTATACTCTGGGCAAATCACTGAAGCTCTGTTTGCCTCAGTTTCCTCAAATGTAAAATAGGAATATTAATAGTATCTACCTCTCAAGGTTGTTCTGAGGAACAGATAAAATAATAATTGAAAAGCACTTAGCACAGTGCCTGGAACATAGTAAATGCTATATAGCTTAGCTATTGTTATTATTTTTATTTGTAAGTATATAGAAAATGCAGATTACAAAATGGATAGAAGCAGACTTTGGGAGAAGGTGCTAGAAACTATAGGGATCAGGAAAGGGCTCATATAGAATATGGCACTTGAGCTAAACCTTTAAGGAAGTTAAGGATTCTTAAGAGGTGGAGGTGAGGAGGCAGAGGATTACAGGCATGGGAGGCAACCAGTACAAAGGTAAGGTGTCAGGATTTTATCTATAGTAAGAAACATGAGGAGGCTGGGATTCTTATAATCTAGCCACTGCTCAAATTCCTAAAATCTAGACACTGCATAGATTCTTATAATCTAGCCAATAAACCAATAGTTTACTAACGTTCAGACTCCTTAAGAGTCTTCCCAATATGATGGATGTTCTAATAAACCTTGTCTTTGGCTGAAAAAAAAAAAGAAAGAAAAAGAAACATAAGGAGGCCAGTTTGGCTGGACTGTAGAATGTGTGAAAAGGTGTGATGTTCAACAAAGCAGAGCGGAGCTGGGGGCAGCTTTCAGAGCACGCTACGTGCCAAGCAAAGGAGTCTGAGGGTCACCTTAGAGAATGAAGCTATTACCTGTGGGTCTGGGAATTTGTTGTTGTTTTTTTTTTCAGGCTCCCTCATTCTTTTTTCTTTCTAATGTAAATTGCATTTATTTTATCCAGTTACATGTAAAGAGTTTTCAACATTCATTTTTATAAGATTTTGAGTTCCAAATTTTTCTCCGCCCTCTCTCCCCTTCCCCCCCTCCAAGATAGCAAGCAATCTGGTATCAGTTATACATGTGCAATCATGTTAAACATATTTGTGAATTGTTTTCTTTTAAAAATATTTTGATAACTGTATTTCAATATAATTGGCTTCCTTTTTAAGTATGCATGATGAAAAGTAATAGTGTATCTCTTCTGTACCAGGGTTATTCCTAAAATGATGAGAAGGTGTTATAGCTGTCCCTTCTCTCTAAGAAACTCTCCAGGTATGCCAGTGTGAGTGCAGATTGGGAAAAGTGACAGGAAGGAGAGAGAGAAAGAGGAAGGGAGGGACACATAGAAAGAAGAAGGAAGAGAAGGGAAGGGAAAAGGAGACAGAAGGTGTGTTTGGGAGCCATACCCTATTTACCACTACTTCTATTTTTATACATTTTTTTAATTAGATGGAAATACATTTTGCTTTTATGATTTGAGAGTTGCTTACCAGTCCTTCAGAACGCACCCCCTTCTAACTTCTGCCTTTTTAAAAAATTTATTTTATTAATTTATTTTGATTTATCAACAATCACTTCCATATGCGTTTGAGTTTAAAGTTTTTCTCCCCCTTCCTCCCCACCACCCTCCCCAAGACGGTGCACAACCTGATATACGCTATACATTTACATTCCTATTAAACATATTTTCACTTTAGTGGTGTCTAACTTCTGCCTTTAAGAATTCCTTATTTATTTCAAAAGTCAGCTTAAGTGCCAGCTCTTATGTGAAGCCCTTCATGAACCCTCCCAGCCCAAGCTGCTCGCATCACCCACCTGCCCTACCAAGTGAGAACAGGGACTGCTATCTCTAGCACTTAGCACTGCATCAAGTTCATTGACAGTGCTTAATAAATGCTTATTTTTTGATAATAGGACATAAGAAGATAAGAGAATTTCCAACTGCAAGAAACCATGGAAATAATTTAGTACAACTTCTTCATTTTGCAATTGAGAAAAATGAAGTCCAAGCAAGGTGGGGGTCATTCTGAAGTATCTGAAAATTTATCCAAACAATCAACAACTTAGAAAGAGAATCCCAACACGTTGTTATGGATATGAAAACAGGCTTTCTGTTTCAGTGGAGAAGGCACAATTACCTTTTGTAGAAAGAGGACAATCCTTACAAGCATCTGGGCGTGGAGTTCTTCCAAGGTGAAAAGTGTCCTGGGAGTTCGGATAAAAATTTTGGTCTTTCCATAAGCCACATCATCCTGGAAACCACAACCTTCAATCAGTTTTTTCACAGCTTGCATGTCTGAAGGGAGGTCATGGTTGGGCCAGGTAAATTCAGAGATCATCTTGTACCTAGGTAAACAAGCATTTATGTTACTGGAGAATCTCTTGATCCTATAAAACCTATTTTTGCCCTGTTGATAAATCTGGAAGAGCTTAAAAATGCTATTCATTTCAAAATCTGTTGTGAAGATTAGCATGGACATCATCTGATATGAGTTAGGGATAAGAGGTCTAAAAGCCTTTTTAAGAAATGATTTTTTAAAAAAACCCTAAAATTCATCCCAATGTATGTTGTGCCACTGAAGTGAAGAACATTACATGAGCAAATACAGGGAGAGAAAAGTGAAAATGTAGTGGTTATGTATTTGTGTCTAAAGGTAGCAATTTCAAGGGCGAAGGAAAGCAAAGAAAAAAATAAATTAACATTATTATATATTTGAAAGGAATAGCAAGTTCTACATAATAGATTTGTAGCTTCATGTGCAATCATTTTTTAAAATTTTACTGTTATGGAAATATTTTTTATCCCATAAATTAAAAATAAAATAAATTTTAAAAAAATTAAAGGATTAAAAAAAAGAAAGAAACCAGGCAGACAGGAAATTTGTTTTAAGCAATGGTTTTAAAATATTTTTCAAAGTTCAATTTGATGGGGGTAGAAGTCCCTAGGGACCATCAACCCTACCTATCCACTTATCATTGAAAAGGCACTTCCTGTTCCTACCACGGAGGAATACCCACTCTATTCTTGGTTATACAACACCTTATAATTTCCAAATGCAAGTAGAGAAGTGGGTAGTAAGATTGGGCTTTGGGTAGGGGCTCAAAATATGTGGAAGAAGGGGTAGCTAGGTGGCGCAGTGGATAGAGCACTGGCCCTGAAGTCAGGAGTACCTGAGTTCAAATCCGGCCTCAGACCAAACACTTGACACTTACTAGCTGTGTGACCCTGGGCAAGTCACTTAACCCCAATTGCCTTAAAAAAAATAGGTGGAAGAAAAAGATAGACAAGATTTCCAACAAGGTTTTTGTGGAAACACTCCTGGCCTCTCCCTCTGAATAAGGAGATCGCTCCAAGAATGGAGGATGGTCAGGGAAAAGGAAGGGACATGAGAGATGATGTTCCATGTGGGAGCAACAAAGAGTAGACCAGTTTGGCTAGACTGAAAGGCGGGAGGGGGAGTAATATCGAACAAGGCTAGAAAGACAGGTTTCAACCAAGTTGTGAAAGGTTTTACAAGCCAAAGAGAGGAGTCTGTATTTTATTTTAGAGGCAATAGGAATTTATTAAGCTTAATGTTTATCAGAGGAAGGCTCTATAGCCTTCTATAGCTTACTAATTGAATAATTAGTCTGTAGAGGAAACTTTTCAGGAAAATAACATCTTTGTGTCCTCAGAAGACTACCTTCTAAGCTATGAAATAGCTTAATGTATTTCATTCCAGTGATTGTTAGAATACAAACCAGACAACCCAGGGATTTTGTAGGATCTTCAGAAGTTTAAAGGAACCCCAAAGTATAAATGCTGGGAAGATATGGAGGAAAAAAAGAGTACTACTTTGTGTGTGTGTGTGTGTGTGTGTGTGTGTGTGTGTGTGTGTGTGTGTGTGTGTGTATCATATATATATATATATATATACATGATGCCTCATGAATAATCTAGCAACAAAGGTTTACTGAATCATACAATTTTACAGATTGTAAGATGCTTCAAAGGCCAACCGACAGTCCAATTCCCATCTGAAGCATGAATGCCCCAGTCATCCAGTCTTTACTCCAAATCTTCCACAGAAAAAGAACTCACTACTTTCAAAGGTAGCCTATTCAATTTATGGGCAATTCTCTTTTTTTTTTCTTCTTACATTGAGTCAAAATCTTACTATTTCCATCTATTACTCTTGTTTTACCTTCAGAGTCCAAGCAGAATATAAGATGAATCCTATTTTCTTAGGATAAGCCTTCAACTATATAAATAATTATCATGCCTCAACTTAAGTTCTTTCTTCTCCAATTTAAGCATCTCTTGTTCCTTCAACCCTTGAACTATGGCATATTTTCTAAAGCCCTCAAGATTCTGGTCATTGTGCTCTGGACCAACTCCAACTAGTCAACAGCCCTTCTAAGATGTGGGGCTCAGAAAGAAAAACTACATTGCAAATGTGGTCTGGGCAGAGCAGGGTGATGGAATGATCACTCCACAGCACCACTAATACTTGACACTGCTGACTATTTCCTCTTTAGTGATACTCATTTTTTCGTGATTTCTGTGGTACAGTTCTCTCTGGCTTCTCTTTTCTTTCTGAATACTTTCACCATCTCCTTAAATGGTTCACCTTATTCCTCCCATCCATCAAGTACAACTGTACCCCAAAGCTCTCTCAGTTCATGGTCTCCTACTCTGGCTTTGATGCTGGCAATCTCATCTATTCCCATGATTACGATAATCATTTCTATGTGAAAAAAATTCCCAAATATTTATATGAAATCAATAATAGTAATAGCTATTTTTGCATTTTCTCTTCTAAATTCCAGTCTAGCACATCCAGTAACTGTTAAACATTTCCATATTGATATCTCATGGGTACCGCAAACTTAACATGTATAAAATTAATCACATCACCTTTCCTCCCCAAAACCTGTCCCTTTTCCCAACTTTGCCTAGTTGTTCAGGCTCAAAAGTTTGGAGTTATCACTGATTCTTCCATTTGTTTTTCCATACCTCTCCCCACCCTCCCCTCATCTAATTAGCTGCCAAGTCCTGTTCATCTGCCTGTATAGTATCTCTCACATTCATCTCCTCTCTTTCATTAATACCATCCCTACCTCAGCTCAGGCCCTCATTAGCTCTCAACTGGATGATTGAAGGGCCTCTTAGTCTACCTACACCAGTCTCTACTCTCTTGAATCCATCCTTCACACAGCTGCCAAATTAATTTCTCTAATGCAGAGCTCTCACCATGTGTCTCTCCTATTCTAACATTTTAGTGGTCACCTATTGTTGACAGGATAAAATACAAACTCCTTTCCTTGACACTTAAGACCTTCTGAGATTTGTCTTTAATCTAGCATTCAAGCCTTCCCTCCACTGCCACCCCATACTGCCCCTCTCTGTGTACTCTACATTCTAGCCAAACTTAATTACTTGTCATTTTCCAATTTCATTCTGCCCTCTTCTACCTTCCCACGTTTACACAAACCATCTCTCCAAAGCTTTGAATTTATTCCATCTATATCTCTGATTGTTAAAATCTCTTGTCTTTAAAGGCCAGCTCAGACACTACCTTCCCCACTTATCCCCAATTTCCTCCCTTCCCGGGGCTGAGCTGAACTTTCCTCTTCAAATTTTCTTGTCTGCCTGGATATTTATTTTCTCTATTGTAATTCCTACAATGATAACAATAACAACAACAATAACTAACACTTGTGTAGGCAGCCAGGCACTGTGCTAGGCACTTTACAATTATTATCTCATTTAATCCTTACAACAGCCCTGGAAGGTAGGTGCTATTATTATGCCTATCTTACAGATGAGGAAACTGAGGCAAACAGTTAAGTGACTTGCCCAGGGTCACACAGCTAGTAAGTGTCTGAGGCCAGATTTGAATTCAGATCTTCCAGACCTCCAGATCTATATCTATTGTACCACCTAGTTGCCTTGTATCACACCTGGGCACATGTCTTATATTAACCCAACCTTCCTCCAGATGGAAAGTTCCTTGAAAAGAGAAGTAATGATAACTTTTATCATTGTTCTTATCTCCAGCACCAAACGGACGGTTTTGCCCTGTAGATATTTACTATTTCTTGAATTAAACTGATGAAAGTACACTAGTATCTGCCAGGCCCTACACTGATGAAATCATAGGTGTAGACTCGTCACCTCTCCCCCAAGAAAGATTCCCTTTAACGTCTTTGTTTGCCACGTCATACTGTGGAATCACACTGAGCTGTGGTTCACCAAAACTTCTTTTGCACACTGACTATGGTCTAGCGCCATTGCTATCATGCACAGAATCCCTATGTCAGAAGGGACGCCAGAGCCCCCTGGTCCAACCTGCATCTGAACAAGAAGAGGGGACTGAAGTGCCCACCTCTTCCCAACCTCTCACTCTGCCCATCCTGCCAGAATGCCTTCTCTCTCTTCTCCAGTGTCCACATCATTATTCAAGTGATCCTTGTAGTAATGGGTTCTATAGGGGCAGCTAAGTGATGCAGTGGATAGAGCTCTGGCCTTGGAGTCAGGAGGACCTGAGTTCAAATCTGTCCTCAGACACTTGACACTTACTAGCTGTGTGACCCTGGGCAAGTCACTTAACCCTGATTGCCTCACCAAAAACAAAAAAAAATAATGCGTTCTAGAATCTGTTGAAGAATAGAAGTCAAGCTTGTTGGACTGTGGTTTGCCAACCTTGTTCTCTTCTATTTTCTGAGAACTGGTAATATCTGCCCTTCTCTTGTCTTCCATGAACCGACCCCACAGTTGTAGCCAGCAATACCTTCAGTACCTTGGTATGAGTTTTGTCTGGGCCCGAACCATCAAGGGCATCTAAGCATTCCCTTACTAACACTTTCTTACTGGGGTTTCAACTCCCTCTTTTTGTTCTCCTCTTTCAGTCTCCTGGGTCAAGAAAAGAGTCTGTGAATTCAAGCTGAAAAGCAGGACCACCTTTTCTCCACTGTCCATGAGGGTGGTCCCACACGCCCAGAGCAGCAGGTCGTCTTTCCTCCACCATAGCTTAAGTTCCCTCCTTTGGTTTTCCGTCACCTTCTCCAAGAGCCTCAACTCATTCTGGCTCCACCCTTCCTCTCCTGACACTGTCCTTAGAGAACCATATCAAGCTTTTGTACTCATCTTCCATTATCTGTTGCTAACTGCATCTTCCATGTGTCTTTTTAATATCTAAGTTGGTTATTATTTTCTTTAGGCAATTATCCTTTCTGTCCTCATCTGAATTCTATCTTTGTGTCTTGGAATTGCATTCTTCAATAGCCATCAGTCCCAGATCTTTATTTTCCCTAATATAAATCCTACCTACTCTGCTCCCCACCTTTCCACCCTCCCTTCCCTC